GAATAGCAATTCTTACCAGTTCCCTCCTTGCTTCCATTTTGGTGCGTCCGCAGCTCCTCTGATTTGTAGAAGTCAATGCTGGCGTACGTGTTCAGGCTGGAGCTGCCACTGCCGCTGCTGCCGACTGATGCACCTGCCGCCCCCACCCCAGAACCAGAACCCATTCCAGAGAAGAGGCGAGATGGGGCCTGGTTGCCAGAGGGCCCATCCAGTCCCACGTGGGGGCTCTCCTTGTTGGCCAAATCCAAGTCTATGTAGTTAAGGCCTTGCTCTGCAGATGAAGTCTGAGCATTTGTGGGAAGAGATTGCTGTCCAGGAAGGGGGAACTGAGTGGGAGATTCAGTCACAACACCATTGCCCCACAGCATGCTTTCAAAGCCCAGCCGGCGGGCTACAGACTGGTGTTCAGGAAAGAGGGAAGCAGTTGAGGAAGAAGTCGAGGTAGAGGTGGAGAGGGAAGTTGAGGCAAGGAAGGTTTCTGAGCAGTGCCGTCTGCGTCCTTGGGGGTCGGCCCGGATAACTTTAGCTCCCTGGTCTGGGTTGGGTCCTGTTTTGGATAGGGGAAAGTCTAGACCCCGTGGCAGCACAGATGTATCATCCCTGGTGGGAGATGCGCCTTTTGGGGAGACGCTAGATGATGACCGGGGGACAGGGTTGTTATTCAAACTGAAGGCCATCTCTGTGTAGTCTCCACATGATGTAGGAGACTCGGATTTCATCACTGATGGAACGCTTTCTCTGTTTTTCCTAAGTAGGGCCTCTGCCACTTCAACCTCATCTTCATGAGGTTCAGTATTATCCTCATTACAGGGTTTAGGGGCATGAGCAAGCGTTGGGGGTGTGGGAGGGGTATGGAAAGAGGGGAAAACCAGCGGGGTAAGAGAGAGGGGTGAGGGCGATGGAGAAGGGCCCAGGTCCATGTTGACGTACTCAGAGGCAGCTGGTGGAGTGATCGGGGCAGATGGGCTACGGGAAAGGGGTATAAAGTTTCCAAAGGAAGAAGATGGCTTCTGTTGAGGCTGCTGGCTGCTGGAGCCATGAGGCAGCGATAATCCATGCCTTAGACCCCTACCACGACCTAATCCTATCCCAGTCGGATTGCCCTTCTCCCCCTTGAATTCAATGCTTACATACTCCCCAGGGCTCTTAGGTTCTGGTGGCAGAGGGTTCTCACGAACTCTAGGAAGAGTGTTCGCTTTGGATACGTCAACAAACAGGCTAACAGGTCTGCTTCTAGTATAGCTACCCTGCTTGGACAACCCACCAGAGCCTCTTCTCTGCTGCTGCTTACTCCCATGCTTGGACTGAGTTCCCCCAGTCACGTTACTCAAAGCCTGGCTAGTTCGCTCGTCGCTCTCACCCAGACTTTCACTGCTGGCTGAGCTGGAGGAGTACGAGGAAGATGAGAGAGACAGGTGGCGTCCAACTACTGCATTACCAACTGCTGCTTGCTCCTGAAGCCCTCTAATAGGTTTACCGCCACCCATTCCCCTCCTAGAACTCCCATTGGGCCTTCTTCCTCGTCCAGGACCATCATCAAAGTGTCCGGTAGAGGGGCTATGTTTATAAGACCTGGGTAGGGAATAGTAAGAGTACACCATCTTGGGACCATGTTGCTGCGGACTGGTCTCCAAATGTGATGAGTGCTCAGGAGGTGGGGGACTGCCGTTTACAGAACGTGCACTAATTGGAGACATGTTCATATAGTCACTGCCTGGCCTGCTGTCTGCACTGCCACTGCCCACCCAAGCCCCACCGGAGAGACCTCCACGCTGGTCAGGGGAACAGCTGCTATTAGGGGACATTATCATATAGCCATCAGAATTTGGTGGAGGTCGAATCTGCTGTGGAGGCGACACGCTGTTGTTAGGAGTCATGGCCATGTAATCATCAGCAGGTTTGGAGTCTGAGTCGGGGACCAAAACGGCCAGTGACTGGGAAAGGGACGTCGGAGGCTGAGTAACTCCAGGTAGCATTGACATGTACCCATTGTCCACGCCTAAATCTACGCTACCACCTGCTCCTCCAGTGCCTTCAGCTTTAAACTCTCCTGCCACATCCAAGTACCCGCCTCCTCCCCCTGCCGACCCAGCACTCATGGCAGATTCCTTCTGTGTAGAAGAGCAGGTGGAAGTAAAAGACTCTCGGCTCGTGCTTCTTGACATGATAGCGTAATCGGCCGAATCGTCATCTGCTGGCTCCTCAGCTCTGCGCTGACGTGGAGCCAGCCTTTCCAGGGCCATAGGAGGTAAGGAGGCCCGCTTGCTCAGCAGCCTGCGTTCAGCTTCACATTCTCGGCTGGAGGAGCGGCGTAGAACTCTTTTAGTTTGAGAGCCAGAGGTTGGTGTTCCTGGTGTTTGCTGGGAGCCACTTCCTTGATTACTGTTGCCACCACCACTGCTACTACGTTGGCCCATTAGGATATAGTTGGCCCCATCTTCACTGAGGGACTGACTACTGACACTGCCAACAGAGCTTCCAGGGAGGCTAGGAGAAGGTAGGAGCGTGTGATCTCCAGGACTTGAACCATACTCGTCTGAGGAGCCGTAGTCACTGGGTGAGCCGGAGACAGAGGCTCGATGAGAGGGAATACGACTGTAGGCTCCAGACCCCGGAGCACCAGCACAAGACGTTAAGCCTCCAAACTCTGAGCCATGACCAGAACTAGAGGACAGACTTGGAGCTGGGGAAGGAGCTGGGGTCGAGATAGAGCGCATCAACCCTAAAGGAGTTTTAGCAGTTGTGGTGGGTGCTGAACGAGCTGATTTTGATCTGAGGATTGGGGTGTTAGAGCAAGAGCCATTGGTGGAGGGGCTGGAGTTCACCCCATGGATCGGTGTGGCACCTGTTATCCCATCCTCCCCTTTCCCTCCATCACTTGCAGTGCGAGACCTCGGGAAGCTATGCCTTGGCGTGGGAGAAGCGTTGGCACAGTTGATGGGTGCTCCACTGTTAGTTCCTCCAGGGGGCTCGGTTCGGGGCCGGCGGGTGAAGCCAACCTGGCTAGGAGGAGGGTTTGGGTGGTGGCGGCGTGAGGGAACACTGATGGGGTTAGAAGCAGTAGCACCTCCTCCAGGGCCAGAGTTGGACTGAGACTTGCTGCGCTGGCGGAACTCCTCACTCAACGCCTTCATGGCCTCTAGCAAGGTTTCATGCATGTTTTGGGCGACTACTGAATCATCCACCTAGGACAAGAGGCAAAAAGCATGTGATAAAGGGAATGAAATCACAATATGATTGATTTTATATTCACATAATGTATTCAAAGTTAAAAACTACTGCACATTAAACCACTAACATCTTAAAGACAAAGTGTTCTGTATTTAAATCTTAGATTGTCATGGAAACTCTGTTTAATCTCCTTTTTCAAACCCATGAAGCCTCTGACAAAACTTTGACATTTCTTTCACTCTGCTGATTGCGGGCTTTTAAGATATGAGTAGGATTGGAGAATGAAAATAACCATCAACATGAACAGAACTGTAGATTACAGGCTCACCTGCATCCAGAACTCGCCTGGGCCTGTCACTGCAGAGCGTCCCACCTCAACGAAGAAGAAGTTTTCTGAATGGCCGCAGCGTCTCACGTTCATCAGCTGCAGCACCACGGCGGCAGCATCAGAGTTGAGCTTCACAAAGTTCACCGTCTTGTCGGTCAGGCAAAGGCGGTAGATGCCAACCAGGTTCTTGGCCTGACCCAGGCCTTTGGGCCATACCTTTACCTGCCATACCTCTTTGAATGCTGGTCCAGGATTAGGCACTCCATAGTCTCCTGCACCGCTGCCGTCATTAGGATTCTTACCTAGAGGGACAGAACGGGGACAGAGTGAGATTAAAAGGTTACTGGGATGAAAACAAAGAGAAAAATAAGAGATTAAACTATTAAAGTGAGGATTTATGAAGAGCACTGGGAAGTACAGCTGTTGCAACAAAGGACTGACATGACTGTGATGCACCTGTAAATATAAGAAACAACTGATAAAATCTCTATTATATGCCTGTTAGTTGAGAGCAAGCCGTCTTTATTATGTAAGCTGTGCTGTGGCCGAGCTTTCCATATATTTCTAAAACAGATCCAAGTATAAACTGGGCACGCACTGGCTTGTGAGACCGGATCATTGTACCTGCAGGGTCCATGCCTGTGGTCTCATTTATCAGCTACACAGGCATCCTGACACACACACACACAGAGGCACACATACTACCAGTGTGGGAAAATTAAACTCTTGACAACTGAAGCTGAACATAAGAATGATGAATATGGAAAGGGAAAAATAACAGCTCTGTGGAAAACCTTAAGAGAAGCGACTTGGAAAATGCTTAATAAGAAATGCTTCTCTAAAACAAACAATGCAAATCACTGGCAGGAATCCTAACGGCACGCCCTTAACAGCTATTTTCTCAAGCGGAACTGACAATAAAAACTGGCTTTGTAAACTAATAAATTGAAGTTTCTTTAAGCAGCAGCACAGGCAGCACATTCACCCTTTGTGTTAAGTGTGCTGTAGTCAGATACCAGAGGCCTACTGAAGCCAAAACACAAGAGAAAACGGCCAAAGTGATATCTGATCCTAAGTTAGTAGGGGCCAAACAAAGGCATGGGACTTATCTAACCACCTAATATTTGTCTGACTATTATCCCAGGAAAGTACCTTAAAACTACGTTGTACTGCAAATCATTGTTAGCGGCTAGTGACACTACCTTTGAATATATGACAGATTTACATCTAAGCTCATTTATATCCACACACAAAAGACGTCACATCTGTTGACTAGCACGGATTATAGGAACAACATTATGTGAGTCATGTTTAGGGTGGATTTCGTATTCTTCTCCAGGGAACCACCCTAAAAAGTTCCTGAAACTTATTTTCACATGTCCCACATTTCTGAGATGCCTCTGTTATGTTGCCAGTTTGGATATGTCTGAGCATGATAACCATCTATGACACAGACTCAATCAAACTAATGACAAGGCTAAAGAAACAGACCTCAACATCAGAACCTGTTCCCTTGAATGGAACAGGATGGTCTTTGTGCATTTATAGTGAGCTTAAGCACCTGCCTTATTAGCCTACCACATCTGGCATACTGAAGGAGACGACGTATTGAAATAAGGAAAGTTCTATTTTTAAAAGGGTTATCTCATTGAAACCACTGGTTTGCTATATATTATATACATATATCTGCTGATGTTCCAACAAAGCCAATGTTCAAATTTGTTCAGTATCATCTGATTTACTTTTAGTTCACTATCAGTTAGTCGTATTTACACAGTTCTTCTAATTTATAAATTTTAGCTAGCTAGAATTTTTAGCCATTTACCCACGATGTTTAGCTAACAATTTGTTTAGCCAAATGTATTTTTAGCTGTTAGCTTCATCTTAAGTTAATCATTTTGGACTTTTTAAGTCAGAATTTTAGATAAAATATATAACATATATATTAAATGTTAATGGTCAAAGAGGCACCATATTGATATTATACTGCAAACTGCAAGATTTTACGCAGACAAAGCAAAATATTTTTGATTTCAATAAGCACAAGCAAGAAATAATTAAGGAGTCCTGACCGATCTTCTCTCCAAGTTAGGCATTTTGATAATTACGATCAGTTCACCAAGTCGCAGCTGTTGAGCCACACAATTTAATTAATGCACATAACTCTCTTCCTGTGGAGATGCACCTGTGGATCCTGAGAAGCTTCAAACTGAAGCAGCTGGAAGGAACAAACACAACTTCAACTTCAGTAAAAGCTGCATTTAGTGGTGAGTCTCTGTTTAACAACCTTTTATACACAAATTTCTGTTTAATGGCCAGTGCTGGTGCTAAAATATAGAAGAAGCCTCATGACTAAAAAAAAAAAAAAAAAAAAAGCTCTTTAACCCAACTATTTTTCTGCACAAAGGATTAGTGTCGATTTGTGCACTTATTTTACTGTCAATTCCAACTGATTATCCATTAGCTTTTGATTTTGATTCATGTACCTCTAGCAACTGTATAAGAGCCCACAGAGTGCTTATTGGTGGTAATCACTGCCTTAAGCCATAGTTTTGATCCAACAATGCAATATTATCACAATACTTTACCCACAATATGATATTACAAGTATTGCAATAATATACATTGTAATTTATCACTTTTTTAATAGTGCAAATCACATCTTCAAAGTTAAACATTATCTTGTTTTATTTAAAGACATAAAATTATCTCACTCCAGTTATTTTTTTTGTTGCAAAAAGGTCATACTGGCAATTCAATGCAGCCCGTTTCTGATAATGCAACAATTAACTTTGAGAAATCGATGTTCACATGTCGGCTTCTGTCTACATATACAGAAATTCACTTTTAACTTTTATATTTGTGCTCAGCAACCTTCCTGTCCCACAGGAACATAACCTGAATACATTCAGCTCACAGCAAGTTGAGTCAACTCTTCTTGAGTTGTGCTCATTGACAGGGACTCATTCAGGCTGATATGTCTGCATTTATAAATTAGACAGAAATTATCTGCAAACCTTCAACAGTCAAAGGAGCTTGCAAAGAAAAGCGTCTGGACTTCTTTAAGTTGCTTGAAGACGTTTCACCTCTCATCCGAGAAGCTTCTTCAGTTCTACGGTCAAATGGTGTCTGGGACTGCCCACCATTCTTCAAGCAACTTAAAGAAGTCCAGACGCTTTTCTTTGCAAGCTCCTTTGACTACGATGACCTGGATGACTGAGAACCTTCACAGACAAACCGTTAACAATCTCTCTGAGAGATATTGCAGTCAGTCCAAGTAAGATGGCAAGTGTCAGCAGAAAGGTTGCCTCCATGGTTGTGAGTGTGAAACACCCGCAAGTCTGGGCAAGCATTTAGTCAAAAGTTGCAATCGGTTATAGAATGTGAAAAAATTCATTACAATCACTTTTTAATTTTTATTTTTTGGCGATGAAGGAAGTCTTTATCCTTGTTTTACTGATGCGACTGAGCTATTAGCTTGCTCGGAATAAGGAAGCACCTTTGTCAAGCTGTGTTTGTCCACTGTTGGACAGTTTTTCAGTTTAGCCAATTTAATGTAAGCTTGCTTTGCTAACATTATATCAGAAGGATGGTACAGACAATGAACCCCCAGAGCGTTTATATGCACCTAATTAAAAAGAATCTGCATTTGATGTCCCTGGATCAATATATCACCATGCAAAACAAAGTGATTCTATGCTGTGTTGATTTTTTTTTTTTTATCCCCAGATTACAAGTTTTACAGTTTCACTATTGTTACGTACACAATCTCGGGGCTGATGACTTCTCCGACTTTCTGAGGTAAAAATCTGTCTGTTCCACCTTCGAAGTTCAAATTTCCAACAGAAGAATGACCATGTTTTACACAGATTCCCTAGTTCAATTCCAAGAGGAGACACAAACCCCTTTGGGGTTTTGTCACATTGCACATCTGGTGTAAAGAACCTGACAAATCAAACATGTGGAGCAGCCCGCTGTGGCGACCTCATTTGAATGAGGAACAGCCCAAAGTAGGTTTTCTATGGACGCTTCATTCTGTTTCCCCAAGCATCTGCTGGTTGAAAAGAAAAACCAACAACAAAAAAAACAATCCTAAAATGACAACCACATGTAGACCGGGACCCTCAGCATGCACAGCGAACATCACGTAACTGAGCTTCTGTTATGCAAACTGTTTTTCCAGATCCCAATCCCAAAACAGCTTTACATGCGATTGCACAAGAGGGAGAGGTCTGACGTGTCTCGCCGCGTCTCCGTCCACTCTTCTTACCCAAAATTGGAGGATCGCTCACGACTTGAAAGAGACCTAGAATAGATGTTTTGTTGAAAGCCAGTGAAGCTGCGGCTTCGCGGCTGTGTGTGTGTGTGTGTGTGTGTGTGTGTGCGCTTGTGGCACTCCCCCTATATTAGATGACTCACTCAAGGCCATGCACGGCTGTTTTCATGTGCTGCTTTTCTCTCCATGTGTGTGAATGAGCGCGAGGACCTCTGTGCAAGAAGTCCTTTTTGCTTCCTCGATTTAGATTTACAACAGGAAGAGACGGTTTTGGGACTTTTCAGCGGGGACCTATGGAATGAGGGACTACAGGAGATTGCAAGGAGATATAAGAGTGTCATTAAGAAAGGGGGTTAAAAAAAAAGGAGCGTTATTCAAAGTTTATTTCGGGATTGCTTTGCCTAAAAGAATCTAATTACAGGCTTATTTCAAAATTCTTTTTTCCCCCCTGCTCTCTGAGAGTGACTCAGATTGCAGTGCAGCACGATCCTTAAAGAGTATCTTTTTCTTTTCAAGAACCCATTTAAAATGTCTCGAGGAGAGTGTGAGCGTGTTGTTTGTTTTGAATAAAGCAAAGCCTTAAACCTCAGCTGTGCCCTCAACAGCACTTACACAAACACCCTTTATCTCAAGGCCGCTCTGGCTGTGTACTCTAATCGACAACCCTCAAAAAAATAAAAACCCTTAAAGTATTTTCAAAGTTTTTTTTTCCTAGAGTTCTACAGATTTGCAGGTGGATTCACACCTATGAAGCATTACAGAGCTCAGGGCCTGATCTTACACAGTGCTGTATAAAGTATGAATCGCCCCCCTCGGCTTTCCTCTCAAGTATCTTTATGGCTGTTTGGTGTTTGTCGGAAAGAAAGCGGGGCATGGAGAGTTTATCAGTCAGTCAGCTTCCGTGCAGCACAACGCCCCTATACTACATAATGAACCCTCAGAAAAACACGCACACAGAGTTGGAGATAATCTAAGGACCTAAGCCGGATGCACATGAAAGCACCTGGAGGTAATGAACCATCCGCG